TACCCCCCGCCCCACAGACTTACTTGGAAGTCTTCCTCATCGAGGATCTCCTTCCGCCACTTGATCAAGAAGGCTGCGCAGACGTACAGGTGGAAATGTGAGAAACCTTCTGGCTCCGACTGCGGACAGCAAAACTCCGGGTGAGCTCCTGCAGCTCCGCTGGAGCACAACTTCCCTGGACACGGATGTCCTACCGGGCCACCCGTCCCCTAGCTGGCTAGAAGCACCCCAGGGCCACACCGCTTTGCTTCCCTCATCTCCCCAGCTCCACGGTGCTGCCAGAAGACCTCCGTCCCCCCCATCTACGGGGAGTTGCCCCCACGGCCCAGCAGGGAAGGCAGCGGGAGCCTGCGTACCTGGTAGGTGTCCCAGAGGCGGATGGTGCAGCGAAGAGGCAGCTCCCTCATAAGCAGATTGTTCATCCAGCGAAAGGCAAACTGCAGGTATTCGACCTCGTACTTCCTAAAGTGATTATGTACCTGCTCTGAAACAGCACATGTCACTTACATACCTGGGGACCGTGATGCCCCAGCTCCCGCACACACCGCTGCCCCCAACACGCCGTCCTTCACGCACTTTCAGGCTGACACCTCATCTCCCAGACGCCTCCATTCCTCGCCTGGTACCACCCGGCCAGCAAAACCCCGTTTCCCAGGAGGTTTCTGGCCAACCCTACCAGGAAGGTAGGGAAGCACCTACCCCTGCACTGAGGGTGCTACTTGCAAGGGAGGCACCCCGCTGCTGTGACCCGCTCAGGTCCCCGTGTCACCTACCATCGATCCGGCTGACCAGCTCCTCCAGGGCTTTGACTTTCTTCTGGATCCCCGGCTGTGCGAAGGTGTAGTTATCCTGCGGGGAGAGGCCACGAGTCAGAGGCAGCAGCTCTAACAACAGCTAGAAACGACCAAAACCAGATCCCCAGCTCCACAGGGAGCCAAGATCGCCACGAGCCAAGGAGACGTGGCTCTTGAGCACCAGGATCATCCGCCTGCTGGGAAGTCCCCAGCCAGGACAGCTGCAGCATCTTATTTCCCCAAGATTTTACCCGTGGATTTAGCTCAGCGAAGTGGCAAAACCTCCCTAACACTAGGACATGCAGAGCACCCACAGAGAGAAGATGACTGTGCTGCTACCCCAGCAAGGGGAGAGAAGCCTTCGCAGCCCCGCAGGCTCACCTGTATCCCGTCCAGCAGCTTGCTCATGCACCAGAAGCTGTCGGCTTCGATGCTCCGTAAAACATCGTGCGACAGGTTTGTCACGTCAAAGTTCTCCACGTCCTCCTCTGCAAAACAGAGAGGGAAGAGCATCAGGACGGGGGACACCAGGAGGCTCACGGGATGCACCGAGGGGCTTTATCAAGCCAAGGCAGGACAAGAGGCACTGCAAGGCTCCCTGGGTGAGGCGAGCGGCCTGCCCAGGGCAGGGTACGGCACCCATGGGCTGATCTACTCCTGCAGCCCAGGTGAAGGGCTGAAGGACCCCAAAAGACTCAGCAGCCACGATCCAAACGGAGCCCAGCTCCCCAGGGGACCGTGGGAGGGATGCCACAGCCTCGCTGCTGCTCCTCCGGGGCGAGGGCTGTGCATGGAGAAAGCTCCAGGCGTACGGGTCCCCCCCCCTCGATGGAGAGCAGCCCACCCTGGGTGACAGCAGGTCTCTGCCCGCTGGCAGCACCGCAGGGAGAACTGGGAGAGGTGAAACCCTCACTGCATCCAGAAAGCAGAGAAGGAAACCCTGCCCTTGGCCTGGGGCAGCACGAGGGAGCTCAGTTCCCACCCCGAGTCAGATTCATCAGCATCAGCCCAGGATTGAAGCACAGAGGCACCCAAAAAGCGGCTGCCAGCTAGGAGGGTGCGTGAAGAAGAACTGCCAAAGCCTCAGAAACCTCTACAGGAGAGCAGGGCACCGTTGCAAGGACCCAAAAGCACGCGAGCATCTTCCTGGAGAGCAAAAAGGCTCCGAGTTAAACCCAGCACGGAGCCTGACAGCGGGGCCACGCAGCAGAGAGACTGCTCAGCTTCACAGAGCTTCTCCTCCTCCTCGAGCCCGGCCCACAGGAGGGCTCCAGCAAACCGAAGCAGCCCGACGCACAGAAGAGCCTCGCTGCGGGGGAAGCAGAGATTTGCACAAGCTTGGTTTTCAAACCCAGCGGACTGAGGGGCTGAGAGCACAAGGGTGAGCGGCAGCTCTGTCCCCAAAGGGTACTCACAGAGTACAAAAGGCTGCCCTTGCTTTTAAATGGGCTTATGAACACCCAGGAAGGGCAAAGGAGAGATCAGATGCCTCAAGGGTGGGACAGGGGTGATGCTGGGTTTGGAGCAGAGATCACCCGCTCCAGGCCAAGCTCGCCTTTAACCTGGAGGCTGTAGAGGGCAACAGGCATGGGAAGGCAGTGGAAGCCGGGGAGGAGGTGGTCAGGAGACACAGGTCTGGCCCTCCTGGCTCAGCTGACCCAGCAGCTCCCTCCCCTCCTCCCTCTGAAGGAGCTGTCACGCTGCTAAATCGGATCAACAGATGCCAAGGCTCAACTGGCCCGTTTCCAAACCCAGAGGCTCAGAAATCCAAACAAGCATCTTTGATCTCGCTTGTCAAGGAGCAAGAGGGAGGGGACGGGTCTCGGGGCTGGAGCTGGGCCACCCTGGTGGCTCAGACCCGCCGCAGGGCAGCTGGCGCGCAGCGCGGTGAAAACCGACGCTCGCAGATCCCGCCCGCGGGACGACGGGGAGCGCGGAGCCAGCGACCCCAACGCTGCTCCCACCTCTGCTCCTCCTCCGGGGCCGAGCTCAGCTCCGGAGCAAACTGCCACCGGGAGGTTTAGGGACAAGCAGGGGCTTAACCCCGCATTAATCTGGCAAGCTCGTACTGCAGGAAGAGCAGCAAAGCTGCTTTCCAGCTGAGGGTCACCATCCAAAACGATCACTCTTCTGCTGGCTTCTCCACGGCCTCTCTCAGAGGCTCCAGGTAATGACAAAGGCAGGCAAAGTCTGCTTAATACCCACCTCCTTCCCTGGACAGCTTCCCCCACGGAGGAAGGAGGGTGGGCAGGCGAAAGAACGGGTCAGGGCCACATGCGTACGGCCAGGCCTGGTGGGAGAGGCTGGCTGAGCCACGCAGGAATGAGCCTCGTGCAGAAGACCTCCCCGTGCAGCTGCAGGGGTGAGGACCAAGACGGGGAAGGGGATGAGGTGACCTGTCCAGGCGATGGGGAACACCCTGCTGCTCGCACCGGTACGGGAACGAGAGGAGCAATCCTGCCAGCAACTCGGTGTCAAAGCAAACCAGCGGCAGGAGATGCCCAGCAGGAGCCAAGAGACCTTGCAAGAAGCTTTGGGAAAAGAAAAAAAAAACCACCCACCCAGGTCTCTGGAGCGTGTGGCTCAGCACAAACATCTGCTCAGCGGCATCATTAAAGAGGCCCCGCGGAAAGGAGCGAGATACTCAACATATGGCTCTGACAGGGACTGAAAAGGAGCCGGTGGCACGGTGACAGCCGCCTGCGGCCGGGCTGGGGGCAGCCGGGACACTGCTGCCAGCGTCACGGGGTGCCCAAGGGCAGCTGGGGCTCGGGGAGAGCAAAGTTCCTGTGGGTGACATTTCAACAGGGCTCAGGGCTGGCACAGAAGGGGCAGCACAGTCCCGCTTGAGCCCCTGCCCTCAAATGCCAGGCAGGGCATAGCTTGGAGCAGACCCGAGGGGCCAGGGCTCCAGCCCCCCACATCCCTGCTCTCCCTAGGGGAGCTTTAATGCCTCTCCCCGGGCTGGCAGCCAGGGCTCCGTGCAGGAGCAGACACCTGGAGAACAGTTAAACCCAGTCTCAGCTCTGCACAGTCATGGGCAAGCCTGGGAGCAACAGGTCCAGGGGAAAACTGGAGTTCAGCACCAGCTGGGTCAGTGGCAGCGTGACTAGTAACACCCAGGTACGAAGCTCCCCTTCCCTCCACCCAAGCTCCACTTCTGCTCCTGATTACAGGGAAACAAGAGTCTTAATTTAACCATGATTAGGTTTTAGTAACAAAGACGGTTAGGAGCGTGCAAGTTCAATACTTTCCATGGCACTGCTCCCTTCTACAGCCTTGGTGAAATGCCAAACGGGTCCCAAAGTTGGGACAATCCCTTTTGCAAGGCCTTCAATCGGGGATGGCAGCGGTGTCGTACGTTGAGATGGGCAAAGAGCAGTGGGAGAGGGCGCAGGGGCCAGCACGGACGGTACCTGGGGATGCTGAACCCACTTCTGAGCTCTGTCACTGCCATTTTAAACGCAAACACAAGCCCCGAGAGCTGGGAGGGACTAAGTGCAGCAGGAGGGGCTGCAGAACCCGAGCCGGGAGGCAGTTTTAGCAAGACTAACAGCTCAGCACCCCTGTGCTTGCCAGGTCCTCTTTCATCACCTGGAAAAAGGGGCACGGTTTCCTCCGGCAGATGCCAAGGTGTCATCCCTGCCCCAATTCCTCGGATGCCAGACTGCCTCTCCATCCTCCCCACTCAGCTCTACCTCCCACCCCAGCCGGAGGGCAGCAACCGCAGGCTCAGCTGCTCCGGCAGCCTCAACACCTCCCTTGAGCTCTTCCTCAGGGCAGCACCCGCTGGAGACAAGCGGTGCTCAGCCATCTGGGGCAGGAGCCATCCATCAGCCGAGGGGAGGAACAGCTCCAGCTACGGAGCCGGCGGTGGCAGGGGCCCCAAGTGCCCGTGCTTGCTGCCCAGTCGCAGCCGTGTTCGTGCAGGAGGCAGGTAGAGCACCCCAGAAGGTAAGCCAGCTTGGCACGCTGGGGGAAAGGGGAAAACACAGCAGTTCGACCCACCCCACCTGCCGAGGGCTCACAGCAGTCTGCACGGCATCTGCAAGGAGCACGAGGTTTTGCATCCAGACTGGGTGCAAGCACAGGAAAAGCAACTGGTCCCAGCTGGCACTGGAGAAGGGGGCAGGGGAGTTCAGACGTGGGGACGGGAAGCTCTGGGGAAGAGCTGCTTCTCCCTGCTTCAGCCTAGTTGGTATTTTCTGAAGCTGGTCAAAGAGGCACACACCCTGGACTCAAGGCTTTGCTCAGAAAGGGGAGGGAAGCAATACCAGTGGGATGCTTTCAGTCGGGCCAGGGAGATGCAGGTGACTAACAGGGTCATCCAGGTCCCAAAGCAGCCCAGGGCCGCTAGAAGAAATGGCTCCCTGCAAATGTCTTTCACTCACTCTGGCTGTTTGCCTCCTTCAGGACCCAGAGGCACATGCCCTTCCTCCCCACACCTCCTACGGTGATGGTGGAAAGGCATCAAGTCAAAGACACAGCAGTATGGCCAGCCAAACCGCTCTGACTACGCCCCCGAGCAAGCTGTGCTTCATCCCTCTGCACACAAGGGCCTGGGGCTCTGCTGGGCTCCTGCCGGCTGTTGGTTTGTTGCTCGGCTGTTGGTTTGTTGCTCGTGTCAACGCCACTGAAAGGAAGCTGCCAAATGGTTCCCTGAACGTGCTTGATAAGCTACAGACCATCCCCTACCCAAACCACCCACCTTTTCCCCATGGAGACGTTGTAGCCCTTGGTGGGAAGCCAGACCAACCCTCTGAAGGATGTTTTGGGCCTTGGTCTGCTAACTGATACACAACGAAGACGCTGTCAACCAGACACATTAATCAGCTGATGAGCACCAAGGAGAAATTTTAGTTGATCTGTAGAAAAGTCGATTTGTTGCCTGCAAATGCAGTGCCTGCCCAAAGCATGGATGGGTGAGAAGTCTACAACGAGCTCAGAGCTGGGGACCAGCCCGTGAGCAGAAGCAAGACTGCTTTAGGAGAAGCTGCTAGATCGAAGAGCAGAAGCCCAGGGTGTCAGGCTGGCCTCGTGCGGAACCGCTCACCAGAGCCAACAGCTTGTGAACTCCCCCCTCCGCCTGTCAGCTCTGAATCACACCCGCACAGCACGGTCCCAGCACGGTCCCAGCACGGTCCCCCGAGAGCTGCCACGGCCCTGCCGAGTCCGCCGCTGCGGGAGACGGCCCTTCAACAGCTCCGACACCAACATCCCAGGGAAGAAGGTGGGCAGCTAAGCCGAGGAGCCAGCTGGCAGCACAGTGGGGCCCTTCCAGCATCTTGCAGTCGACAACACACTCGCTCTGAAAGGGGGGTAGGGGCGGCAAACCCAAGAGGTTTGGGGATGGAGCCAGTGCTGGGGCCAACTTCCCAGCCCCAGCTTTCAAGGAAAGGCAAGGGCAGCTTTTCCAGGCCAGCTGTACACACGCTTCTGAATGTGGAAGTACCTTCAGAGGGCACACAGGTGTACGAACCCTCAGTGGCTCTGTGGGCAGGGGCTGCCTGAGCCACACGGGTTGTCCCCGTTCCCAAGAGGGATACAGCTTGGGGAACACAAGCGGAATTTCCTTGGAAGAAGAGATTCCCCGCAAAAAAGGCGAGTTGTCCCTTGGCATGGGTGGCTCGAGGATCACCGGACTGTGCAAGGCTTCTTTTGGCTCTCCTGCCGCAAGGACTCGGGTGCAGCACCACTTGGGATCCCGAGAATCAGTGATCCAAGGCAGAGAGCCTCCTGCCCTGCCCAGCACCAGCTCTCCAGGGGCCTCTCAGCAAAGGCAGCTGCAGAGAAGAGCCAACGCTCCAAACAAGGGACTTAAATCCTGTTGTAAAAGGTGTTAACGTGACACCGAGCACTGCCAGTTCTTTCCCACGTACACTCAAGGCAATCACTGATCTGCCTTTCAGGACATCTTACTCCTGATGTCCACAAACTCTGCTACACAGCCAGAGCAGGGAGCAGGTGGCCACTGAGACAACCTGTGACCTAAAGGCTGGCTTTGAATCCCAGACTCTGGGGACAGAAGGGGACGCACGATGTTGCTCGGCTAAATTCAACTCAATGGGTCTTTTTTTTCCTCCCACACACGTTTCAGAGACAGCTGGAAAGAGGAAGGTCACATTCAGAGAGAAAGCTTCAGCTGCAGGAGAAAACAGCCCTGGAAGATGGTGAGAAGCATGACCCTCAGCAAGAGGTGGACGGGTCTGATGCAGCTGGAACTCTGCAGCCACATGCAGAGAGTTGAGCCCCGACACCCCACACGGTACAGGACTGCAAGAAGTCACACCAGATACCTGCAGGCAGCGCTGATGCTTCAGACCAGCTCCCATCTTGCACAGACAACTCCCTGTGCGCAGCTCCGCTCCTAATCCATCAAATCAACCCTGAGCAACCAGCCTCCGCCAAGACTAAGGGCCACCAGCGCCGCTCAAGCAACAAGGCACAGGAGAAGCCACTCAAAGGGAACCTGCTCAGACTCGACCTGACAGGCTCTTGACCTCCAACTAGCCACAAATTCACTCCAACTAATCACAAAGCCACATTTTGTGCTTTCTCCTTCAGGCCGTGAGGAGCAACAGCACCTCCTGGGGATCAATCCTGATCACACCAGCTACAACAGTGGAAACTGAGGTGGCTTCCCTCTTCGCAACGTCCTCAGAAGAGGCAGATCAGTACCAGTTTACAGAGCCTTAGCCAGATGGTGGAAGGCTTTCTTCCACTGACTTCAACAAGCTTCGGATCAGACCTTAAAAATATTTGTCCAACAGGATTCCCCTGTCACTAACACAGTCTTCTAAATTCTTTTTTCCTTCTATTTACAGTGAAAACTAAGAGCCTTTAGGCATAGGGATTACGGCATCCCGGTGTTAATGCCAACCCCAAAACACAGGTAGATCTGGAGAACAGACTAAAACTGCTATGGGTGGAAATGACTTGATCTCCAGCTAAAAGCAACTGCCTGACAAGAAAGCCAAAAGCAGCAGGGAGAAGTCTATTTGCTTTCTGAAACTCTCAGCTTGAGAAACACACCTGTACTAGCAGCACGGGACAAGAATCTTTATTCAAACGGTTTATTTCACGTTCCCAGCAGGGCCCCTTTATAACTCCACTCACTCCTCCCAGAGCAAGAACAAGCTCCAAGCCCGAGCTTGGAGAGCAAGGCCCTCCCCTCTCCCAACTCTGTGTATCAGGGCTTTGCCTAAACTCCCTCAGCGCCTAAAAGACCCCATTCTCCTCCAAGCTGGAAGGATGTTAAGCACATTCAAATGCAAATCCACCCTTAGCACTTCAGCTTCCGTGGAGCTCAGCAAGGTTATGAAACTGAAGTCAATTCAACCAGACAGCAAAGACACAGTAAGAGGTCAAGATGCATCTCCAGCCTGGCACAGGCGCTGATGGAAGAACACATCATCCCCTCCAACCAGGCGGGCTTTTCTGATGCCAGCACTTCACACCATTTCAAACGCCGTGGTCAGGAGGCAGCACCGTGCTTCAAGCAGCAAAATGTCACTTACCCACATACTCAGAGAGGAACACAACAAAGAACGGAGTGACCAGGTCATTGATTCCCTGTACATAGCCGCTGGCCGGGTGTCGAATGGCCCAGATAAACAGGATTCTCTCAAAGATCTAGGGAAGAATGAGGGACAGCAGGTACCTGCATTAGCCGTGCACAAAGGAAAGGCAGAGAAGCATAACTGCTAAGCTCAGGGAGCAGAGATCATGCGCTGACAGGCTTTTCTGCAGCAATACGGGTAAGATGAGAAGCACACAAGTCCTAGGAGAGACTCCTGTGGATCACACGCAGGCCAGCCCACACTTCACAGAACAAGGCAGCCCAGGCTCCTCATCAAAGCCTCTCAAATACAGACCAACTTTTCAAAATCCAGGTGGCTTAAGACCCTTTCACCCCCAGGACAGGGCTGCACACCTTGCTGAACATCACGTGGAACGCTAAGGCTGTTATCAGCACAGTACTCCCAGGAAAATACCACAGATCGGGATAGCTCCCAAAAGAGCAGCCTCCTCCCAACCACCAATGTGTAATTTCCAGATGCCCCAGCCCCAGGACACCACGCTCTCACACACTTGCTGAGCTTGTTTCCAAAGAGGACAGACGCTCACACCTCCTGGCCACCTCTCAAACCCATCCCTGCCCAGGTTTCTCACATACTGCTTCACACAAGAAGAGGTTTTGCAGCAAAACAGAACTGAGCTCTTGTTCTGGTTCAAACGTCCAAATTTGTTTCGAAACAAAAGCTTCAGGTCTTTTACCAGCCCTTGGCTACATCTCGCCACAAAAGAGCTGATCTTCGAACCCCTGAGCTCCAGGTCTGACGGCTTTCAGAAACACAGGACACGACCAACCAGTTTCAGCAGGTATTTGCATCAGGGAAGTTTCCCCACAAAGCTAACTCGGTAGTGGCAGTGCTGGTCTAAGTCCACACACAGGCCCCACGGCAAAGGTGGGGCAGGAGCTTCACTCCCCCTTACCTCCTGGACGAGCGGTTGCTGGAAGAGGGGGATGAGTGGGTTGGTCCTTGGAATGTCGATGTGGATCTGGAAAAAAAGAAGGTGGGTTACACACACCAGCCGTGCTTTGCAGGGTCACAATAACTCATCACAGGCTCACAGAGGGGAATCCACCCCTCAGTGTGCCCCCGGGGCGAGAGCTGCCCTTGCTGACAAGCACAGCGAGGGCTACGGGTGACCGCTGCGCTGAGAAAATCACCTACAGCTTTATCTCCAGTCTCCTCTGCTCGGGTGTGG